ATATGCCAAAAAACCGCTTTCTTCCAATCACGTTTAATGTGAACATATAAAGGGATATAAAAAAAAGTATAAAAAAGATGACTCTAATGAATGATAAATATACCTCGTCCTCAACTTTTTCGCGTTGTTTTTTGCTCATTCGGCCAAATTTGACAGCATCGCGACTCATCCCAAGCTGCAGGCATTTCTTCAGCCGACAGAACTGACACCGGTTTCGATTAACCCGATCCACCGGGCATTTTTGCTCCCTTGGACATTGATAATTGTTGGGCGACGATTGACTTCGTCGAAAGAATCCCTGAAAATTTGAAATTTCTTGGAGAGAGCCACAATGCAGAAGTGCGCTTCATGAATTCCGACTTTTTGTCATCAGAGCTCAAATTCGGGAAAAAAGAGAAAGTCAGGCATAGGAAGGTCCGAGATTTTTGGTCTCTGCCTAAGTTTTTAAGAGTTGCGAGTTTTTTTTTAGCTTTTTAGAGTCTCGTATTTTAGAACCTTCATAGCTTTTTTTTTAAATCACTTGGATACAAGGATAAAAACACATTTGCACATACGTACACAGACAAACAAACAACAACAATCAAACATACACACATAAATGCGCACACAAATCGACATTTACACAACCACATGCACACATACACAAACCAACAATATTGAAACGTGCGCAAAAAACTGGCAGCACATAGATACGCATGCACACATACACGTGACCGACAATATGCAGTCGTAAAAATACCTGTCGACAACATACACACAATTACGCAAACAAACAAGCATTACATAAAACAAACAAACATACAAAACATACATTTCTGCAAAAACGCGGACTCGAAAAAGCTATTTTTCGATTCGAATTCGTGCAAAATGCTTGCATTGATTACTTACTTTACACCCTTCACATGTGATAACACCGTAATGTACACCGGATGATTTGTCACCGCAAACTTTGCACGGGATCACTTCGATTTGTGCTGAAACTAACCAAACAAAATTAGGGTTGCTTGTAATCTGAATGCACGATTTCTATGAGCAGACTGGGTCCCATTGATGTGTCCATGAGGAATAAATGTCCATGAGTTTTTATTACGAAGAAATATCAAGGCCAGAACTTTGAGCTTCAGGATTTTGATGGTACAGAAAACGGAAAGGGACAATTATGGCTCGGGCTAATTCCCTTAGATTTGCATTCAGGTAAGTGAAAAGTGCAAGCAAATTTTGCCCGAAGATCAAAGCCGTAAATTAAAATCTCTGTTTTATTCTCTCTTTTACAAAAGAGGGAAGGAAGTAGCCCGAGTGATAGCAAATACCAGCAACAACCACCCGTCATCACAGCTGTCGATAAATGTCACCCCCGAAGATTGCCCTGTTTTGCTAGAAACGTTATACAATTTAGAATATTTTAGTTCGATTTTCGTTTACTAGTCAAACTCGCAGTCGATAAGGTATTCTCATCATAATTTAGAAGTGGCAACGTCCCAAACAACAAGATGGTACTCAATACACATACAATGTATATAAACGTACACGCATATACACACATCACACACACACACACACACACACACACACACCAAGGGCAATCCGAAACAGCTAAGGGTATTCCGAAACAGCC